AGGCATTTGTTTCATTGACTACATCATCTAGGTCTCCCACATGGTTCACCATTAAAGATTAAGTTAATGCAAAGTTTGACAGATTCCCAGACAAAACAACTTTTTAAATTATCTAATTAAAGCATTGATTGTCAGAATCAATACCATTTATATTAAAAGTCATGAGCATTATTTAGAGTACAAAATCACAAAAACGCCTTTATTAGATTTTGTATATCCGGACACATAATGCAAGGATTATTGACTTCACTTTATACTAATGAGGTTTTTAATTTATGTAAAGCAACCTCAAAACATAATATAGCTTACAGTCACATGTTTACCCTTATTCCCAGAAATGTCCTATTTGTTTTACAAGAACAAACCCACAGTAGTCTTATTGTGGCAGGAAAATTATTTATTCATTTTTCTTGCACGATAAAAGCTGCTATATTTTAAATAAGGCTTCACTGATTTGTAGAAGTGTTAGTAATTTATTCATCAAAGCTTTACACCTTCCTTGTTCAAGTAGTTACGATTCTTGTGAAAACTATAAATTGTCATTTCTGTCACAGGCCAATCCATACAGTACCTTCACTTGTTTGCATTCCTACAAGTGAGAAACTGGATGTCCCTTGTTTGTAGTATACTTTTTCCTGGGTTCTACATAATATTTTCCTAGCTATTTTCTTTACCTATCAAAACCTAAGAGTGGTCTTCATAGAAAGAAAACAAACTTTAATTAGTACTGTACTGCATATGCTGTAACAAATGCATGATAGAGAGAGCCAGTCATCAACCTGCAAGAACATGCATTAGGAGATCTACACCAAACTTGAGGTGCAAGTGTCAAATTAAAAAGTGAACTTTCAGTGCATTTAGCTAAGAATATTTCAGAACCCAGCTTTCCTTGCAGTATGCTATAGCCCTGACCGTAATTTTTTGCAGAACATAAAGATCAATATGTAGTACAGTATATTACATTAAGAAAATACAACTTTCTAAATAAATGGTTAGACTTTTAACAACATAGACACAAGAAAAGAGCGTTTTCCAGAGTAAGATTTTGTTTTATTCAACACGGAGGAAAATGCACTATACTGAATTTGCCAGGGAAACGGGCTACAGTACATTTCTTTTAGATTTTCCCTAATTTTCAGTTCAGCGAATTTCCTTTCATGACATACAGTAGTTGGTTTTCATGACTGAATACTTGGTTTTCACGCACATTGCAATACCGCGTTCGTGTTCATTCGTGTCACATTTCCTTAACCGAGCTCTACTCATTTCTATGGAATAATTTCTATGGAATCGCGGACAGTCAAGATCGCTTAACTTTAAGCCAGTACAGTTCATTTATTTTTTTCAACGCCCATTTTTAATGAGTAGACGTTTATGCCACAGAATTCAATATTCTTGAACTTAGCACTGTTCTCACAGTATAGAACAACACTACCAAATGTTACAACGTTAATAGAGAACGTTGCAGCCATCTCTAGAAATTTCAGATACAGTACGTATGGTCTCTAGTCCCCAAAACAGGAATACAATTAGAAATATAGACCAAACGCGAAACAATTTGCACATTTCTGTGGATACATACAATAACAAATGCTTAGGAGGGACACAATGTTTCACTATGATACAAAAATGTTGTCAAACAAGGGGTATAATCACTCTCGGTCATTTTGTTTCTGGCCCAAATTAAATGGTGGATTACGAAATCGTGAACCTATTCTTAATTTGTTGTAGATGTAGAAAGCAAAGTGATAGTCAACAAGTCTTGTTTCCATTCGAAACTTGTTTGTAAAATTATAATTCCTCAAAATAAACGACATTTGCTTTGCCCAAAAGTCCCTTTTGTTATATTTTTAAGATAGACTACTGCAAATCACATTTTACACTATTATGGGTTTATTTACATCATATACTGAAGTGTCAGTCTATTTTTATGAATTGTGCAATGAGCGGCGCAAGTATATTACGAAAAACAATTTGCGATATCATTCATTTGATACCTTTCTGTTGTGTTTCTTATTTAATGTATAGTACGTACAGTAGTAATTTAAGGCTACCACAAGAGTCAATTAGCCTACTCACAAAGAACGAGGAACTTTACAAAGGACTTAGAGGAAACCATAAATTAAAAACTAGAACATTTGATGTGGCTTGAAAGCTCAGTCTATACTAAAAGTTACTAAACCATAAGAGAGATCTTTTTAGAAAACATCATGTTGTCATGATGCACAATGATCTCTCGTTTTCCTGGAGTTCAAAGGGATCGTCTCATAGTCCGATACTGCAATAGGAGGTATAACAGTAACCTGCAGTTCAAACACGCGTGACTTACAGTATGAAGCTTTTTCGAGTTATAGTACATGTTCTGAGTTCTCTGACCTGAAGCAATTCTTATTCAGTTATTAAATTATTGTAAAGTTTAACATAAGTAAATAGATCTCTTAAAATCTGTTTAAATCTTTAGTTAGTGTATTTCGCAAATAAGAACTTAAGAAGCCATCAAACGTGCATGCAAAAACAGTAATCTAAATAATACGTGTTCGCTTAAATGTACTAGCATTTTGTGTTGTATTACACATGAAATTGGTTATTAATTTGAAAACTCCCAGTGCTACTCTCATATTAATGTATATTCAACAATCATGGTTTTTCTTTTTAATCTCGCATCGTTAACCACTTTTTAAGAATGCTTTAACATTTGCAGGTATAAATTTCTAAGTTTATTTTTTAAACATGGACACGAGTATCCTTACTCAAGACACAAAATAAAAAACGCGGTAATTAGCAGTTTTAGAATTCGACATTAAAAATTGCAAGGATTTTTTTTCTCTTGTTTATAACACCTTGTAATTTTAATTGGTTGATGCGAATTAAGGCAACAAAAAAGTTTTACAATGTTGCGGATATGTAAAACGTATGGTGCGTTATCTAAAGCCCCATACGTTTTGACTGTTTGAATGTATTTAGTCTAATTTGTGTTTCACTAATCACGGATAGAAGAGACGTCAGTTTTATGATTCCAATTTATAAGTGAATGGTCAAAATATTGTAAATATAGATAATGTACCATTTTGTAAAAGGCCTTCCGAAATAGGTATCAGCCTCTTTTATATAAAAAATAACAATGTGTTAAATTTGAGAAAGTTCTTATGAGTTACAACAGTCTGTTTCAAATGATTGCCAAAAGTTGCAATACAGAAGCTGAAATGGACAGCAATATACAGTACAAATCATTGTATATTTACCTTTGTATATTTTAACTGAAGTAAGCTCATGGATCTTATTCCATTATAGATTGACAGGAGCGCTTTATTGAAAGCTTGGGTGAAGAGTTACAAATTTTGACATTTTGAATCGATTGTTACTAGCTGTCCTGTCCGTCGTATTTTTAAGCTAGGGTAGAGTAAGGTACATTGTGTATTTTAGGTCACTTTTTTACAAATTAACTCTGAAGGCTTGTAATAAGTGCACTCCAGTTGAAATAAATTTCTCATTTCTATTTAAATTAGTTTTTAAAGAATGTTCAAACGCATGTAATATGATTTTACTTTTGTGTACATAGTGCAATTTATTACTTGTAAAAAACTCTTCTTTCCTTTACCGTGAGTTTCTTGACGAAGCTTATCCTTAATTTGTAATTGTTCTCTACTCAATTCCGTCAGACTAAAGAGGCTATTATCTTATTGCATTACTAATGAGCTGAAATTGGACTGTATGTTTAATTACAGTGCATGGATTGCTGTGTTTAGTGCATTCGACAGAAGTAATTAGCGCAATAGTTTTTTTTTCTTTTAATTCTTTGTTCTCATATTTTGTACAGTAATGTAACGTTAGATTGAGGCGAAACTGAAAACTGTAACCAGACATAAATAGTCTCATATTTAAAAACTACAGGTTTTAATCAGAGAAAGAAACTAAACACACTCTTATACCGAAGGCTTAGTACTAGAGTTAAATCTAAATTTTATGTGTTGCATGTTTTAAATATTGAACTGTAATTTTTTTAACTATACTTCACATTTTCACACTTCAGTTGAATCTCAGAAACATGTTTGACGCAGTAACCTACAACCGAATTTTAAAAATACTGAATAATAACCACTCTGTGATAGATTATTGGATTATTGTTTTTATCATTATTATTAATAGGCATCGGGTTTACTTATTTTTCTTAACCTAATGAGCTAATAGTACAGAAATATACGCCTTGTAGTTATGGAGTTAAGGAAAACAAACTTCAGTAGATGATTATATTCACTTATATTAGTAAACAAACCCTTTACATAAAGAAAACACTAAAAGCATACAGTACGTACAGTACTTAAGAAAACTCTTAGATTAATACAAGAGGATGCTATTTTTTGCAGTATAGCCTATTTCGAAAAAGCAACTGTACAAAGATTGCACGTTTCTTAGTTTTTCTATTCATTATTTTTATTGAAAAGCAAGTTTTAAAATACATTTTACATGCGGTGTATAATGACTGCATAACAGTTTTATTTTTAAATAAAAACAAATGGTTGCAGTAACGTTTTGTGCTTTTAATTCTGTTGCTGGATGATGAAGAACTCGTGCATGATGTTCGCATTAAGTTTACGATTTCTGCTCAAGCAAGCGCTACCGCAGGTGCTTTCTGTTACCACCCTTGTTTGACGGCTCCACTGCGAATGACAAGCAGGGCTGTTGTGCGTAATCGTAGTGAAAACCGCTGTCTTTGCTCTGATAAAGCAAGAGATAGCTTAATTAATCAGTTCGTGTAGATTATCTTAACACTATGCTGAACACAAAACAATCATAAGGTACCTCGTCTTATTTCATTTAGCCTATAAAATGACCTTCTGCAAGTTAGCGGAGCACTCATTCGTCCTAGTTGTGTATTCCTTGTGTGTAGTCTATTTGTATTGGCTGAGCTGAGCATATTTTTCGTGTCTGATCCTGCTGCCCTGTCTAGCGTTTGCTCCATTGTCTGTGAGCGTGCGTGTGTAATTTTATTTGATACGGTTACGTATTGCACGGTCTGAATGGTGGAGAGCACGCATATTGCAGAGACAGAGGAAACAGATCTTTGTCATAAACTTCTTGGACAGAACACGTCGATTTTTTTATATCTCTGTGCCCAAAGGGGAGTTGAAGGGTGCATAGTAGCTTGGAAGACTGAAGTAAACCATACAGGCTGGTGCTTTTCGTATTTCCCAAAGGCAAAAGAAGACTACGTCTGCGGTTGACGAGTCGCGAATGCTCCACTCCAGTTAAAGACTGACCTCTATTCAGAAGTAGGTAAGCAATACTTTTTTTCTCCCAGTTGCGATTGACAAAGGGGGCGTGTGAACTATGTTTGGAAATCAATCAGTAATTGGCTTGATTGATCTCCTTATCTACACCGCGTGCTTTTGATTGAAGGTGGTTTTGAAAAGAGCTTTTGCCTGCCTTGTGACCTATTGGGAATTACCGTGTGTAATTTGTTAGTAAAAAATTAATTACTGAAGCAAGTCGATCAACTAAAGTCGCTTGATCTGTACTCGCCATGCACACTTGAAAAGAGAATAATTTAACTTTGAGCTAAACGGTTAAAGCAGTTGTAGTAAAGATGATGTGGTTCTCGAACATAATAATAATAATAATAATAATTGCTTACACTTATATAGCGCTTTTCTGGACACTCCACTCAAAGTGCTTTACAGGTAATGGGGACTCCCCTTCACCACCACAATTGTAATGCTGTTTTAAAATTCCATTTTAGTTTTAACCTGTTACAGAGATTTGTTAGAACTCCATACTGTATATATTCCTTTGCTTGACACCAATAACTAGGACATGCTTTTACACTATTTTTTTTAATCCAGATTTATTTATATTTACACTGTTTTTGTAAGATGTTAAATTTGGAAAGAAAAAAATCTTAGAACAATCAATCAAATTACCCCAAATCTTTTCTACAGTCCCAAAAACTTAGTTTTGTTAAATAAATGAAACAACACAAAAACGATAGCTTTGTAGAATTCCCCATTGATGTGCAATCATCTTAATTGCAATAACGTGCTTTATGTTCCTTGTTTGCCTGTGAATAATTTAAGTGCATTTGTAAAATTTAAAATGATTCCTTCGGTTTAAACAGAACATTATCGACCTAATACACCTTCACCTTTTGGAAAGCAAAGACAGCAGCAAACCTATAATAGTGTAAAATATTATAGTATGTAAATGCCTGGTATAAAGGCACTTGGCTGTCTTTAAATTAGTTGTCACAGTCACATGAATCGCCTGTAAACTCATAACTGATCTGTCATAACATCTCACAAAATGATGCTTCTCAGAATAATTTGAAACATCAATGGGTACCAGTGCCATTTTAGAATGTTTTGTGTATTTGCTTATGGAGATCTCAGCATGTTAAACGTCAGCTTTATGCACTGTATACACAAAAAAGCATGCATGAATATCAAAATACAGTGGAATCCATGGGAGTAGATTACTGATAAAATATTCTAGTATTTATAATATGAAGTACTGTATAAGTTTTGCAATGTACGGTATGTCCATTGTTTTGTGCTATACAAAGGTTATAATACTATCTAGCTTAAAAATTTTACATTCGGTGCTTCCTTCATTTTCACATTTGAAAATACAGAAATTGCATTACCTCCACCTGAACTACAGCAGTATGTGATATATCTTTGAGTGTAGCCCTTACATTTCAAAGTTGTTTCTTTGAATCCTTTACTGCTATTAATGATCATGTGGTTTTCCTACAGTTGTGAAAAGTTATTTTAATTTCAGAGCTATAATTTTACATGTATATGTCTGGATGTAGGACAAGGGCATATTTATTATTACTGCAAAGGAACAAGTAATAGGTTTATTCCATGCTGAAAAAAAGAAGAAAGAGAACACAATGTTTTGTTCGGGAGCCTTCTTCAGGTGCCTGAAGAAGACTCCACGGCCGAAACATTGTGTTCTCTTTCTTCTTTTTTTCAGCATGGAATAAACCTATTATTTGTTCCTTTGCAGCCTATGCATGCTGACGCAGCTACCCACCTTTATTATTACTGTTCTACTGTAGCTTATATACTGCTAGTGAGCTGATGTTAGATTTCCGATATGTTTTGCAGTCATCTTTGACTAAGAACATAAAGGTCAAAATGAGAGCAGGCACTCCTACTTTGTAAGTCTGTTCAGTAGCTATCAGCTAAAATTGATTTCATCCAGATTTGTCTTGAAGAAGCCTATCTAACAGCATCAAAATGGATGAACAGCTTGTTCCAGACCCCTACAACTCTATGTGTAAAACTGTTTCTCTTACTCATGTTTGTACTTCTGTTTCGGATTCTTTTATTCTTCCTAATAAATTACATCATTCATAAGCAACTCCAAGTGTTCAGGTCCAGGATGGCCATATGCTTTATGTTTCACCTGGAGTCCTATTTAAGCAAAGTGAATAAACCATTAAACTGAAAGTGAAGTGAATTGATTTAATGTGTGAAGAGCAGCACTTTTCTGGGTTTGAAGTAGAGACTGATTAAAGCATACCCACAAAACCTGCAGGGTGCCAGCTATCAAGGGTTAGAGTTGCCATCCTCTGAACTGAGCTAAACAGTTTCCCTCACAGGTTTCTTCACTGTTTGTCTTTCTGAGTACTGCAGAGAGCCTGGAAGACTATATTCAACATTAACAAGATAGTAAAAGAAACATGGAAACATACTGTACAGTATGATTCTTTAACTCCATACCAATATTAATTGCAAGTACCATAAGTGTGGAAAGATGGAAAATATGTGACATTATATAAAATACATTAAGATTTTTTTGTCTTGTATGTTTTAATGGTATTTTAGGATTTACATTTTGAATTCTTTAACTTGAAAGCATGCATGTTTTGAATTTGGGATTGCCTGAAAAACAAATACACTTTGTGGCAAATAAAAGTTCAATCTATGTCTCTCTCTTTCTTAGCAGTTCACAGGCTCCTGTGCATATTTTATAGATGAGCCATTATATTTGATTGTGTTTCAAACCTTTTGTTTTTCTAGAAATGTTTTCTTAAAATACGGAAAGTCTTGAAATATTCAGCACTTTGTGTTGGTATATATATATATGAAAATTGGAAACCTGACATGAATCATACCATTATATAATTATATTTATAATTTCTAATAATATAACGGCTTGTGTATTCCAGTGCAATATCTACTCAGTCTGTGGATACAGTGAGATGCTGGTCACAATTTCAAGATTTCTGTTCAGGGTCTCATCTGGTCACAGGTCAAATGAGTTTTGTCATTTCAGATGAGACTGTACAGCAGATATTACAAGGTCTCCCCACAAAGTCATTTCAGATTCATTGCAGGTAATCTGAAAAGGTAAGGGTTGAATCACTGCATCATTTTACCTCTCATAGGTCATTCCTCTGGGACGAGCAAAGCTGGAGCCAAATTGGCTTTATGTAATCTTTGCTTATCAGGACACTTCATATTCCAGTGTTCGTCCACCTCCAGCATTTCCTGTGTGCTAAAACAAAATGAACTTCAAACAAATTAATTGGCAAATCAGTTTATTGCCAGCAAAAAGTGACCCACAGTGTCAGCTGTAACTTCTAAGGTCAAGCTGCTCATTCCTTGTTCCTCCTGAGAAACTACCTTGTAATACGTCTAATACCAATTCAGTTTACTGACACTAGACTATTGGCCTTTTGGGATTGTTTTTCCTTCATCACAAACAATAAAAGTGGGTTTTACAGAAATAATCTTTTTAAAAAAACCTAACCTGTTTTGTCATCATCATCAACAGATGTACACTCATCATGACAGTAGATTTTCAAGAGGGAGAAGGTTCTCATTCATATCTTGCACCAAACATTACTTGTTTGTATATGTGGTGGGTTGAAATGTAGAATGCTTCATTGTAACCACCACAGCACAACCTCAGGAAAACAGAAGTGATATAGAGGTTACCTCAACATGGCCTTGAAGGTAAAACTAGTAAAATGAGAAATTGAGTCGCATATAAACATTTTTCAATGGTTTTATTGTTAATTAAATTAGGCGTAGAAGTGCCAAGTACAGTAACTGAGCTGAGAGTATTGACTCCCATTCATAGTTATGTGTGTAAGAACATAACCTACACTATGCTGTTTCTGTTGTATCTTTAATGTTACAAATGTCTTGTTATTGAAGGTCCTTGGGTTGCACTACTCTGCTGTGTGGCTCTAAAGCAGTGGTTTATCGACTTCATGACCAACACCAAACATTGTAATTCATATTTTTAACTAATCTTTAGTTGTCTCCTTGTCCATGAATCCTAACATTTTACTCTATCACACGTGTTGATAGCTTCTTTCCTTTTGCGCTATTCAGGCAAAGTATTAACACATAGTCTACAAGAAACCCTTTCTTTTTTGCTATTCAGGCAAAGTATTAACACATAGTCTACAAGAAAGCCTTACCTCCTTAATCAGAGATGTTTAATAAGTACCAGTTTTCATCCAAGGAGGACTGTGTTTTTAGTTATGTGGGTTAGATATCTTCATGAAAGTTCTTAACTGAAATTTGACAGGGATGATGACAATCAAGCCTTTTCCCCCAGCCGTTGTAAATCATAATCAATTTCAAAGGCATTTATTAAAGCTACTGTATATACAGTATAATAAGAAAATCTGTTTTCTTTTTGCATTTGGCCTCTGGCATCCCTCCTTCACAGGTTACAAAAAGGCAGTTTGCAACGCTCAAATTTGTAAATGTCGATTTTTAACTTTGTCTAATTGAAGGGCTCAGTTTCAAGGACAGTAATTACTTTCAATGAAGACCACTGATTTTAAAAATGAACTGCAGGGTCGAAACGCATTAAATGAGGATACGTAATGTTATTTCTAACTGCCAATACATGGCTTAATTGAAAGTGAAAATATGCTTTGTACTCAAAGCAGATTCGCGCGAATAAATAGGGCTTTATTTTAACGGGAGAAATGCGACGTCTTGTTTCAGGAAATCTCCAGAAAGATCTGTGGTCACCCACATGAGTCTCTGTGTCGCTGGTTGATTTGGTCTGGAAAACCGTCAGCCTTTTTGTCAGTTTAGTAAGCTAATTAATACAAGCTTCCACACTGTCTTGCGTAGGTAGGCCTCTACATTTGCGAAGAACTGCGTGATTTGTTCTTTAAAGTCACTGTAACGCTGTAAGACGTTACGTAAGAAATGATGTCCTATCTATACATTGAAAACTCGGAACTGCAACAACTGTAACGTTGTTTCCGGAACTAAATTTTGATAAAGCATTCTAAACTT